ATCATAGTGCGTTAAATGTCCTCATGCCGGTCATCTCATTGTCTCTTGGGCGCCACGATGGACAGGCCCTCGCCTACACCATCGGATAGACCTCCTGTGAGGCCCTCAACCGTCCAGGCAACGGCCTCTGTGAGAGCCTGCCCGAGCCTGCCGTCGCCAACGTTGTACAGCGCCCCGGTTATGCGCATTCCCTTGCTGCCGATCGCGTTGGCGAGACCCATGCCCGCACCCACAAGGTTCTCCGATATCCGGTACTCCCTCTCCGTGCGGGCCGCTAACCGCAGCATGAGGATGATGTACGGCAGCGCCAGGTGGATGAGGATGAAGATGTTGACGACTGCGATTTGGACGCCCCGGTGAAGAATCGATCTGCCGTTGTTCGCACCCCGCGACGGAGAATACGCCCGGCCGCTCGGACTTGGTGGTGGGATGAAATTGGAGGGTGTCGACGTGCGGAGTCGGTGAAGCTCGTGTTCGTTTAGGTCGCTGGGAAGGGCCTTAAGGATGTACTCGACGCCGTCGAGAAACGCTTTCCTCTCAAAATCGACTGCCGGCCGCCTTGAGGGATGCCTCAACTCATCTTGGGCGACGGCGATCAAAGCAAGTCCTGCGGAGCAAAAGGTAAGTCGGAGGCATCAACCAATATCACAACGGCTCTCACCTTGCTGGGCGAAGCGCCAATCTACGTTTGAAGATTGGCTAGACGCTTGCTGTTGCTGTTGCTGTTGCTGATAATACTGTTCCGTTTGTTGCCGCTGCTGCTCATGCTTCTCGGCCGCCGTTCGCACCTCATACGTCCGATGCTCTGTGGCCACCAAGCTCATGTGCTGCTCTTCCGTGCTCTCGGAGACGAGGCGCGCCTGCGTAATATTTCTGTGGACGCCGTCGTCGAGTCCCGACAGGGTGCGGGTGTGTGATTGCCTGCTCGAGGTGAGGGTTTGCATGCTTGCGCTCTTGCGGATAGACCGCAGCGGCGGTAGCCGGGACTGAAGAGATGTTGGCAGCATCGAGAAGACCGTCGATGACATTCTGTTCTGCGGGAGAGTAATCTCTTCGAAAATGGGACCCCAGGGCCGCAAGGGGGGCATTGTGTTTTTATTATTCCCCTCTGGAGCGGGAGGAAGGCGAAGGAAGGGGGGTAAGGCGCTACCGTCCGTCCGTCCGCTTGTGTTGACAATCTATGGTTGTCGGGGAATTCGGTGAGATGGCGTGGCGGTCTGTTCTCGGTCTGCTATTCTGGTAAGTCCCAGGCTTGTGATGGCGAGGGCGTAGGGCGTTGTCGCCAGTGAAGGAATGTTACGGACCAAGAACGTCGAGATCTAGCCAAGCGCCCGTTGCTTTGCGACTGAGGGAATGTTGTCGAGAAAAAGCGTTGATAAGAGAGTGCCCCGCTTGTTGTAAATCCCACGTTCAGATGTGCTTGCGGCAACGGTTGTACGCAAGTGAGAGTGGTTGGAATTTTTGAGTCTAAGATAGGCAGGATGCTACGCAGAGGAAGACGACGAAGATGAATTGGCAAGAAAAAACAAAAATTGTTTGGCTGATCCAGGTCGAGTCCTAGGATAATCAGTGGGTTTGAAGCTTCTTTGAGCGAGTTGCAAAATCCAAGGTGAGACAAAGAAAGCGAAGGGGGAGGGGGGGGAAAGGTTTAAGAGAAGAGGCAAGGTCAAGCAAGGCCAGTCACGGAGTGCTGTACCTAGTAGAGCAAGGTAGTAGTAGGTACTTTGGAGTCTCGACTAAGAAGCGAAAGAACCTGCAAGTGGAGGGGCAGATGGAGTGTATCGGTTGGGAGTGGTGAATGACCTGTTTCTGCCCCCGGTTTGCATCTTCTTTCTTTGGTAGTCGTTCCCGCTGAGGCGGGTAGGGGGCGGGAAATCTGATGGGCGGATGGATCGAATCGGCGGTGGCCGGCTCGCAGATAGTCTGATACGAAGTGGAAAAGAAAGTCCCGTCAGATGAGGCAAAGTTTACCTCATGTTTTGGGAGATAATACGTCTCTCTACTTCTCGAGTCTCTGCAAGCACGGAACCTTGGCTGTCAAATGCAGAGTCAGAGAACGGTAAGGTACGGATAACGATGAAAAAGGTACTTTGAAGTCCTCATGTCTTTGTTACGTACTATGCGCGTCGCACCGTATTGCGTAGCAGAACTGCGCAACATGCTGATCGAACCATGATACAGTGACTTAACACAAAGGCCCCCCCCCTCCCGCCTCCCATCTTAGCTGATCATGCCCAAACAGCCTTTTGCAGTATTTTTCTTCCTTCTTTGCCCCATGCTAATTATCGCAGATTCGTTCGCCTTGTTTTTCTTCTTCGTTTCCTCGTCTATGGCAGTGGATATGTCCTGCGGTGAAGGCGGGCCCCACGGGGAGGGACTTGCAGTCTAGTCAGCCAGTCCAAAAAGCATGTGAAAGACAGAAATGTTGGGTCGAAGCGGGGCTCTCTATCGGTCTTGTCTTTCTCTATCTGATCCATCCATGCTCCCATGCCCATAGCCACCCACAAAACACATGGCGCCAATGCAGCGAATGCATGAAGAGGTAGCCCTCACGCGGAAGTCTACGGATACGCCCTGTCTCTCACACGCACACTCACTCTCTGAGTCTCTCGAGGGTCCCCACCCTAGGTACATGCGCGCAATTAGGACGCTAAGTGTTACAAGGGTCCAGTGTCAAGAGGCTCCTGGCATTCATGGCCTCTCACACAGCACTGTGTAGATATCGCAGCAGAGCAGCGCGTGCAGTTGAAAGGATTACAGGCCATCAAGTCGCCATGTCGCGAGCCCTGGCTGTGTCACGCTGCATCTTTCTGCGGGACATTATCTTGAACCCGTTTACCCCGTTGTAGGGGGGGCTGATTTAACGGTTGAACGAGCGTCGCATGAGATCGGCAGAAAGAAGCCTCCGGTTAGGAGTGACATTCAGTGACACAACGTCTACAATCTCCAAGCCAAAGACTTGGTGGCGCTAGACAGGAACGAGAAAAACGGAATGGGAGGAGAAACCCACCCCCGAAGAAAAGAATAGAAAGAAACTAGACTCGTACAGCAAGTGAGATCCAGCCGTCAGAACACGCCGCCAAATCTTGGTACGGACACTGGGCTGTAGCATCCCGTGCCATGTACCCCTCCTTGAACCCCTCCACGCCCTCCCACAACTCTCTCACTCACCATTTCAACTACAAGATGAACCGCATTCTTTCACACCTCAGTAATGAGATACTTGCCTCTGTCTCATTGACACTGGCGCTAACTTCCCTCCTACTCCTCCTGCTGTTACATAGTAGCAAAACCTCGGATTGTTTTTGATCAAAATGCGGCGTAAAGAGAGGGGTCTTGTCATCCCGAGTTTGAATTTCCAACAACCTCTTCTTATCAGTCGAAGGAGACCAGTCGGAGAATTGCCTTATCTTACCTACAGGGTGCAATACCGACGGCATGCCTAATCTGGGTAACCCAGGAAACAAATGACGAGATGTGACATTTCGCAAACAAGACAATCATCAGTGTGACGGGCCCTCGTGCTGCTGTATTACGACAACTCACGCAATCGATGAAGAACGATAAAGATTGGCCCGCGGCCCAGGCCCAAGTCTCACCTCTGACTACCTACACGCCTGTACCATGTTGCGCCCACGTCTCAGTCTCTTTCCTTTGCCTCGAAGCCACCTAAACATGCATTCCATGTTGTTATCCGCCTCTTTCACGGTCCACGAATCTCGGCGGAACAGAACCCCCACGTGTCTCTCAGGAATTCATGTCCGAGGAACGGGTCGTTTTCCCGAGTCATTCTCAAATCGTCCCGTGCTTTTTTCCCACCCGACTTGGGGAAACGCGAGGAAAGCCTGGACCCATGAAAACGTTGGCTCGTTCAGGTCTTCAGTCCAGCAGCATGAGAAGAACTTTGCCGTCGAGATAAGAGACTATTCGAGGCGGGACTTCTTTTATTAAAATGGTAATGTAACGTGCATGTTGCCACCCATCATTGCATCTGGAGCCAACACGCATATGGCCGTTGCCCCCCCCCCCCCCCCTGAGGCGAGACAGTCTGTCCGGTCACACAAACCACTATCATGCGGCTCGGCCGAGTGAGAGTGAGAGAGCCTCAATCACATGCGCTGCGTCTGCAACGTGATGCCAAGGCAGACAAACAACCGTGGTGACGAACATTCTGCTCGAATGAAATCGAGTAGTTGTGATAATGACGAGAACAACCTACCACCTCCGTCCCGTAGTCTCTACATAAGCTCCACGTATATATCCCTCAAAGCATGTCATGACTTCCCTCTTGTATAAACATCACTGACGAAACGTGAAAAACCACTCCAAACTTTCCTGGTGGTGAATTTGAATAAGCGCCAAACAAAACGAACGAGTCAAGCCCACAGGAGACGTCAAGCTCGTGTCATTCAGACCCGATGAACCAAACCCCTCATGAAGATGGGCGACACTTATACGATTGCATTTATACCAACGGCGCCTGGGTCTCCCGCTCTCCGTTTCCTTACTTGCGACAACTACCGGAGTGGCGTGCCCTTAGGATCTTATCTCGACCAAGTTCAAACCGCCCCGTTCAACCGCAGCACGTGCTTATCAAGCTCGAACCGACTCATCAGGGTCCTTCTTCTCAACGCATATTCTCACTGCATGAGGTAAGGTAGTCAAGCCAGATCCACATCGCGCCATCAGCCAGCTAAGCCCACGGTTCCGAGGAGAAAAGTAACATGTGCCAAAGTAGTGTAAGGCCAGGTAGGCTTCCCCACAGCGTTGGAGGCATAAGAAATATGTGCCATTATATCCTCATCCATCCTCCTCCAAACTAGACTGAAGCCGAAGAGTTCTTCGTTCTCGGCTGTTTCTGTACGAGTATGTATGTGAGTGTGAGTGTACAGAATTCCCAAATGCACATACCCCGCCCAATCTCTTCCCATGCCTTCAACAATCAAGAGAACAATGCGCTGTGAAAGGCCCATCCCATTTCGTCTCAATCCAAGGCTACCTTATGCCGCCTTCTCAGCAGCAATCTTAGCCTCCATCTTCCGCCGCGCCGCAAGAATCATTTCGTCCCTTCGCTTCTGCAAAAGCGACTGCCTCTCGTCCCTGTTCGAGCTCCACCCCTTGGCCGCCTTCTCCTTCTCCTTCTCCGCGACGGCGGCGGCGTCCGCTTCCGCTTGCCGCTGTTGCTGCGCCGAGATCTTATCTTGGAGCTTGTATCTCGTAATCAGGTCCGGCTGTGTGGGCTTCTCGGGCGCCTTGGCCGGTGTCGAAGAGCTGGACGCTGCGTTATTCGCTCCCGGCGGGGGAGGGGGCTGGAAAGTGATTGGAGGCTGTTCGACGACACGTACCAAGGTCAGCAAAAAAGAAGTGCGCTACATTAGGAGAAAGTGATCCGTGTATCGTGGGGCATAGTGGCTCCCAGCCATGATGTTGTCGCCGGCGCGCGCGTACTCGGCACACCGAGCTTTCGCCCGAGATGAAGTTGGGAAAGGCAAGGATTCAAACTCACAGCTTCCATCCGTCCTGCGAGAATCCTCTCAGACGTCGCCTGGATATTTCCGCCGTTTCTCTGCAAATCCCAAAGAATCGTTCGTCTGTCTACTTGCGGGAACATCTGCTGTATCCTCTCCACGGCTGCCTCGCGCGTACGTAGTACCGCTGCAGCGCTCTGTCGCGGCGCCGGTGGCGGGGCGGGCGAAAAGAACAGGAACCGTATCACGAATGCCGTAACCAGCAGTATCATCACCAGATACGGCAGCGAGATCTGCTCGTTTGCCATGGCAATGGATTCTGTGTCTGTGTCGTGCCGCTCTGGCCGGTGGAAGTCGTTGGTTTGGCGGAAGGCCGGAGTGTTTGCGGGCTCTCACTATCAGAAGTGGCGGTTGGAAGCTTGGAGCGGTGTAGGCCTCATGGAATTTGCAACAAAAGTAAAGAGAGTCGGAGGAGCGTATGGCCGCTGCGCGTGGAATGGGGATGTCGTCGGATCAGATGCGTGGAGTCCCGCTGGCAGCTTTTATGGAGTTGATGAGTTCATCAGCCCTCCTCAGGGAGCAGGGGTTTGGAGCTTATGTGGACAGTGGCGCGCAGTCGGAGTTACCCGCGCTTTCCCATGTGAGGAAGTTGAGCACGGACCGCCCAAACAACTACCAAACTGAAGCTCCCCAAGGTATCTGAGTACCTTTCTCCGTAAGGATACCTTCAAATAATGGTGCAGAGGAGATATCTCTTACTATACCAAGCGCTTCCGACGTCCAAAAGGTAACATCACGCATAATTGGAAGCACGGAAACAGAAGACAGTTCTCGTTCGCAGCATCGGCGTCGTCATTTTATTTCCCTTCGTTTGACGGCCGTGGGTAACTCCCATTGATCAGTGATTCATACACACAAAGCAGCGGCAAATATGCAGCGGCAGCCATTTGCCTGGCCAGCTTCATACCGGAAGCCTGTAAAACCATGCCGTATCAACATGACTCAACGCCTGTCGGGTCTCATGCCCAGTGCCCAGGTACCAAGTCGTTTCCAGCCTCGTCAATAAAACGAGAAAGCCAATGAACCATAAACCCCAATTCAACTATGCAACCGGTTGTGCCAGATTCGTCTCCAGGTCACCGTAGTGGAGGGTGAGTTCTCTCTGTATTCAAGATTAGTCATTTGCGCTCAATATCTGGAAGAGAGAAACCCAAGACGTACCCGCTCCTTGCGCCAGTTGGTGGTGTCCCAGACGATGTAGTAGCCGCGTTCATGGTGGGGACCAAGGCTAGCGGGCATCATGAGCTCGTCCTTAGTCAACCAGAAATGCAGCTTCTTGTGCCAACGCCAGTTTCGGCTGTGCCTGCAAGGTTGTTAGCAGTGGCCACCTTGGGTGTAAGAAATACATACAACTCGACCGCAGCCAATTGTTGCTTGACGTCCTGTGTACAGCTGTAGAAGATCCAGAACAGGGTCTCCTCGTTGAATGACGGGATCTTGGTCTCAATCGGTTGCACATTGGTCACCTTGTAACACTCAGGAAGCCGGACGCTGGGAATCGCGGGACGCGGAGGCGTGTCGTCGAAGAGAGAGTAAATCTGCGTAGAGATGAGACTGTCATGGTCAGTAGGTGTTTCTTTGTAAATAGTCAGAATGCTTACTCTGGTGAGTTGACGTTGAGTCCGAACTCGTTGGGATCCATTCCCTGCATCAGCGCGCCATAGCTGGGGTAGTTGTTCATGAGAACACGTAAACCCTTCATGCCGAATTTGTCAATGGGCGCCATTCCCGCCAGAGGGTCCTGCACGTCGGGCGATTGGCCTTCCTTCTCCTCTTTGGCCTTGCCATTGCCTGTGACTGCGTCGTTGCCAATGGCGCCGGGGGGGTTTCTGGTCTCTGCGGACTGAGAAGCGCTGTCGCCACCATTCTCTTCAGAGAAAGAGTTGCCTCTTTCGACAGATGCCTCTTGTATTCTTGCATGATCTATATCGCGTCAGTGAGTGTGTTGTCGTCCGATGAGGTGGGTTCGATATACCTTGCACGCTAGCGATGGAAGGTGAGCGACCATCTGAAGTTCTGCTATTCGCGGAGAGCGCATTGAGAAGACCGTTGCCGGCACCTGCGCTTCGGGCAGGAGGTATCGCGGCGGTTGAGCCAGTCGCCTGGCTGCCACCGAAACCCAAAGAGGGCATTAGGTTAGCACTGCGCTCACCACCGATTTCGCCGTTCGAGTTTCTGTTCAAGGGCGGGAAATCGTCCACAGGATTAGACTGGGCTTGAGGCGCCGGACCTGCGCTGCTCTGACCACCGAAGCGAAAGGCGCCTTGGCGAGCCGAAGTTGGCGTGAAGAGCTCATCCTGGCCGCTCTGAGCCGACAGTGGCGTCGACTGCTGGTTGCGTGGCACTGGGCCAGCACCCAGGTTCCGCGACGCTGTTGATGACCACATGTTTGACTGACCGGTGGTGTTCATCTGGGCGTTGTTGGAGAGAGATGGAAATTCGCTACTTCAGAAGTCAGTACCACTATCAGTGCTAGAAATGATGGGTGAAGCAGTCGCCCGCGATCGCGCCAGACGCAGTGATGAGGAAGGAGAGGAAGGGGAAGAATAAAAATACGTCTTTAGGACATCCGCGTAGCCCTTTTTGGGCTTCTCGCGAGGCGAAGAAGACGATGCTTTATCCATCTTTTCTTGTCTCGCTGCTTTCTTTCGGACAAGACGTTGCCTTTTGCCCATGATGAAAGGAAGAGAAGAGACAAGAGCTAGAGAGACCTGAGAAAAGTAGAAAGACCAAAGTGCGGCTGGCCGTGAAGCTCAGAATGCGGCTGGTGCTACTACTTTGGGTGGTGATCGTGGGGAAAGCGGTAGGTGGATGTGCAGGGTAGCCGGTGAGAGAGGAAAGAGGAAAGAACGTACGAAAGGTCCAGCGGCGTTGCCGGTTGCGACCCGCTTAAGCTCTGTGCAAAGCTCACATTTCCTCCAAGTTGACGGGCTTGATTTGGCAAGCCAGCACCTCCCATGGGTACTCCTCCTCCAAATGCCCAGCCAGATCCATTACTGCCTGTATAATTCCAAGATATTCCACGTCAACATCAGGTCTTCCCACAGGCACCGCCTTTGTACCCAATCACACCACACATATGGAGACAGAGCTGAGTGTTCCTACCTATTTTCCCATTTGGTAACCTGTTTGATACTGCCCTCCCAGCTTGTTGTTGTTGCTGTTGTTGTTGCTGCTGCTGTTGGCCACCAAAACCTGCCGGTATGCCACGCAGTGATTGAGGAGCTACTCCTACTGGTTGCGCCCATTGTCAGCTTGGAGGTCTTGCATAGTGTCGCCTAAGAGTAGCGAGGCTCGAAGCCATCATCTTCAAGAGTAGCGTGTGTACGAGGGGTCCATTATTGTCCATCCAAAGGCCGTGTTTACGTCGAGGTGTATCAGCGCTGGATCTCGAGGGTGAGGGCTACATGTCGGCGCTAACAGTGGCAACGATCTACTGAGAGTATCATCGGTGGCGTGACGTTTCGCGTGCATGGTTTCGATGCTCCTCAAGGTTTCTCGACAATATAGAGGCGCGGCGACCACAATTGAGAGGTGCGACGAGATCCAAGTGGCCTTGATGGACATACAAACGGCGGGGTACCCCGAGGCTGAAAGGGGACGACTAGAGGGTCAGGCCTACCTGGTCGATTCATGATGAAGGCTCGGGGAGTGTACGGTCGCTTTCGGGAGTCGCGTCGTATGGTTCGTCGTCGCGGGGAGTTCGAGGGTCAATTAGGATGCGTTCGTGGTCGAGGTGGCTCGAAAGATTATTCTGGCTCGAAGCTTGCACACACGAAGGAAGCTCTATGCGGATTCCTGGTGTACAGTGTACAGACGTCGAAGCCCAGCCAACACTAACGCGCGGAGGACCGGTCAAAGATGGATCCGATGGCCTGTGCGCCCAGAGCCCCTCCAAAAAACCCCTGCATCAGTGCGAACACGCGCTACTGCCGTACATTCACCTGGGGCCTTTTTTTGACATCATGTCCCTCTCAACACATGAGATGGCAGCTTCCAGCATGCATTGGCTTGATGCTTTCCACCAGCCGAGGCACTCGCTCTCTTGCTACAAAGTCACTTGCGCTGCCGTCTCTGAAAGCTATTTTCTGCACGCCTTGCAGTCGATGTCTCAATGATCACGCGCCCAGAACAACGCATCGTGTCTCAGAAGTTCTATTCATATGCTCGAGTTGATTGTATCCACCAAGCTCTTCTCAAAGTCGACGCCCTTGAGATGCCTTCCAATGAGAATGATCTTACCTCCCTGAGCTTGCGTAGCCTCGCGCGATTGGTCAGGCGAGTCAAGAATCTCGAATATCTCCCTCACGCCCTGGATGAGTTTGATATCGCCGTTGTTAAAGACGAGCCGACCCTTTGACCGATGGACCTCAAGCGTCGTCTTTTCGTCCCCAGGAAGCTTACGGTCCCAGAGGATCTTTCTCAACCACCAATCGATCTTCTCCAGTTGTGAGGGTGCCAACTTTGGCACTGGTATCGAGACGGTCGAAATGGTCTACACTTTATCAGCAAAAGAGAAATGCTGCGACTTTCGTGGAATCACTCACCGAATCTAGATGGCTGTGGCCCTTTTGGCTGGTATCGAGCTCCGTGACCTGGTCATAGGCATGCAAATCCAGCAAGAACCCCTCCAATCTCGGCACCTCGCTCTGCTTGGTGACGTGTATCTTGGCGAGTCCATTGATAGACTCTATCCTCGATCTGATCTGCCCTAACTCTTCTTCGGAAACCAGATCCGACTTATTGATGACGATGACATCAGCATGTGAGATCTGGACGTGAGCCGTCGTCATGAGCGGACCGTGACTATGGCCGTCATCCTCTTTGTGATCTTCGTCGATCTCAATCTTGCCGGCGGGGTCATCAAGGCTGCGAAGAATGTTCTTCGCATCTACCAGAGTCACGATACCGTCCAAGTAGATTGTGCTTCCTAGGCCATCGTCGACCCAGAACAGGGGCGCAAGGTTGCCAGGGTCCGCAAGACCTGTGGTCTCTAGCAAAATGTAATCGAACGCGCCCTTCTTCTCCATGAGCGACTCGATGGCGTTGACACCAGTGTCCCTGAGCGTGTTAATACAAATGCGATCAGTTGATGGGGTGTTCCTACTTTACGGAGCAGCATATGCAGCCGTTGCCGACTTCAAGCCACTCCTCAACTTGCTCGCCACCTTTGTTGACAGTGAGCGACTTTTCGATATCGAGAGCTGAAAAGCGTCAGTGGGTTCAAGTGGGTGGTTACGTCCGAGGAAACCAACAGTCGCCAAACTCTGCGAATAACATTAGTATAATGCCCCGCTACACATTTGATCATGCGATCGGCTTACCGTTCATAATCACGGCAATCTTCTTTCCATGTTGTGCCGTCAAGATGTAGTTGAGCAGCGTCGTCTTCCCAGCACCGAGGTAACCCGTTACGATGGTGATCGGGACCTTGATCTGGCTCTCCGATGGTGGCAGATCATCCTCAACAACGGTTCCGGCCTCTACCAGATCAGGCGGGGCATCATCGTCGAAATCCATGCTAGGATGGAGGGGAACCCTGCGAGAGAGCTCAGACCAATTCTTTGCAGCTTAAGAGGCGAATGGAAGAAAGCAGCGAGTGCCTTGCAAGTGACTGAATTTCTTTAGTCTTGGAAAAAAGCTGTAGAGTTGAGAGAGAGTTCTCAGTGAAGAATACGCCCTTCAACTGACTTATCAAGCGAAGAAAGTTCCCAGGCACGAAAGAAGTAGTATTCGAGGCTTGGAGTACGTACCTATTTGACGTCGTCTGGTCCCACACGCCGGCACTCACACTCACCCAAAAAAAAAAAATAGAAAGAAGGACACACGACCGTCAGTGGCCGGGGAGGACTTCCTGACTAAGCTGAGCCAGGGTGTGCCGGGGTTGTAACAGCAGCGACACGGCAGCACCAGGAGCTCTGGCCCCAAAGCGCTTTCATTCGATGTGGGTGACCTGGAGCTCTTGATTAGCCGCCCGACCACGACTTTTCGCCCAGCTAGAACAACACAATCCATCCACGACATACCAACACATCTACGACAGTCTGTGACCGCGAATTCTGGAGGCGCAAGGGGGGAACACAACAGCTCTTGAACCGCGGTTGCAAAATACTCTCCAGTCGCTCGTCCTCTCCTACATCGTCTTCATCACGGAGACCACCCCCCGATACCATACCATCCCACACCACAACCACTCCGTCACCTCCTTTCACAATGGCAATGGCGCCGAGCTCGCCCCGGCTGCCCAGTCCGCCCCCGCCCGCTGAGATCCAAATCGGTCCCAAGTCCCCTTCCACGGGTGCGCAATCGAATCGCGAAGCCTCGCCGATGGAGCAGTCTCTCATTGAAGCTAACTCGAGGCGTCGCATACACCCGGGAACGAAGGCCGCCGACATGGCTGCTGGACCGCCGCTTATCCCCCTTAATGAGGTTCGTAGCAACGTCCCTGTGAACAGCCAGATTTAACCTTGCGATTCTGCCGCTTACAAAACCCTTTTGCACAGCTCGACTCGGCCTTCCAGCTCCAGGAGCATCTCGCCGCCCTCCACTACCACCACACCAAGAGCAACAGCGTCCCGATAACCCGTACGACCGCAATCCAGCTGGCAACGCCCCCGCCGGGCATCGACCGCACTCTCTGGCTGTACGAACTGTGTCGCTTCCTCATCTCGCAATGCAACACCCTCATTGTCGGCTTCCTCTTCGACTCCCCACCCTGCAGCGCGGCGACGTGCCCCGAGATGCGCGCATCAGAGTGGCAGTTCCTCTGTGCCGTCCACGAGCAGCCCAAGAGCTGCTGCGCCATCGATTACTGCTGCCACACGCTCGACTGGGCCGCCAACATCGTTACGGACCCCAAAATCTTCCCCTCGCGCTTCGTCGTCCTCTCCGACGTCCACAACAAGGGTGTCGCCGTCAAGAACCTCGTCAACGTCTTCCGCCGCTTGCATCGCATCTTCGCGCACGCCTGGTTCCAGCACCGCGCTGTCTTCTGGACCATTGAGGGCCAGACTGGACTGTACGTCTTCTTCAAGACCGTATGCGACATGTACGACCTCCTCCCCGCCGAGAACTACAAGCTCCCACCTGAGGCCGAGGGCCTGGAGACGGCAACGGCGGTGCCTGATGCCAACGGTGGTGATAAGAAGCCGCTTCCAATGTCCATTGTGAAGCCCAGCCACCGTGAGAGCCTCGGACAGAGCGAAGACGACAACTTTCAGCCTGTTGGCCGTACTGCTACGAGACGTCATGTCAGGGCGAGTCCCTCTGTTGGCAGTGCTGTGACGACAGTGGTGGAGGCTGACGAGGAAGACAACGTTGTACCAAATAAGTTGCGGGAGATGCGCATCTCTGCCCCCGAGACGCTCGAGGAGGAGCCCGAAGTGGCCGATGTGCCGGTGATTGTTGAAAAGGAGATTATTGGAGATGCGTCGCCCACAGAAGAAAAGGAGGAGGCTGCTGCGACAGAGCCTCAAGTGGTCGAAACCGACCACCCTGATACAGAATCCGATGCGGAAACGACTTTGGTCTATGAAGAAACCGAGGGCGGTATGGCCCACCCAAACCAACCGCGGCTAGATCTGAACTTCGAGGAGGATGAGGACGTTCCTGCATCAGGAAGCGA